GTCATTTGGGGAGTGGTTGAAGCACAGAAAAGTCTGCCTACAGAAAGCTATAGAGTTGTTCTCTCCTTCCATCTTTGAGTGGGTTCCAGGGATTAAGCTCAGGCTATGAAGCTTGACCAGGAAGTGTTTCTACCAGATAAGCCATCTTATGGACCAGATACAACTCTTAAATGCTCTGTCTTTCTCAATCTCCAGGGGCATAGGACAGTCCCATTCTTTTTTAATTCCTGAGATCACTTACTGAACATCAAAGCAGAGAGCAGCAATCTTCCCTAACAATTGCCAGTGAGTTTAGTTTACATCTACATTAAGTTTCTACTCTGTGAGAACAAAAGACATGAAGATCAGGGTTGATGTCCACTCCATGTCCAGAGTTCTGGGAAGCGAACTCTGATCCTTAGCAAAACAGTATGTTTTCTTAACGGCTGTGCCACCTCTCCAGCTCCCCCCTCTTCATAGGATTTTATCACATCTTTCTGTGAGAACCAGCTAATGTTCAGGTGTGGTTTGCACTCAGTGGGCCTTCAGTTTATCACTCTTGGATAACGTAGTTATGGATAAAAGAAACCTGAAGTGTATTGAGCAGTGAATTAAAGTCAGCCACAAATACAGCTGGTCAAAGTTCCAGCCCATACAAAGAACAATGCAGTTTACAGGTTATTGGCAGGGGACGCTGGCCTTTCTGCTTGCCAGCCAAAGGCAGTCATGTGCCAAGTGCACAAATGCAGCTTATAAATTCTCTCAGCAGACATGATTTTAAATTGTGCAAATCTAGAAGAAAAAATTGTCTTGATTTAGAGACATCACAATGTTTTACTTTTTTATATAAGGTGAGGTTTTGTTATGAGTTTCAGATCTTTACCCCACTTGCACAGTTCCCAGTTATGCAAAGTGAAATCATACCATGGTCTCTTGCATGTATCCTTTGTTTACGCTTTAGAAAACTTCCATTACACTTACTTAGTGTGCATATGGACATGTATATGTGTGCGCACATGTCACGGTGTAAGCAGACAGGACAACTTGAGAGGAGTTGGTTCTCCCATTCCGCCACGTGGGTCCTGAGAACTGATCTCCAGTTGTCAAGCTTGGCACCAAGTGCCTTTACACTCTCTCACTATCCCTGATTTACTTCTTGGGTTTTTATCCAGGAAATCCACCCTCTGTCTTTCTTTTCTCTGTCAAAATCCTAACATCTTCTTTCTCTCCCTAAATGGCCTCATCCAATCTTACCTTTAAATACCATCTAGATGAACATCACAGATACTATCTCCAGCCTCGGGGACCTTTATACCTCTATGAGAATGATGAATGGGCATCTCAAAACTAATAAGGCTCAAACAACTTTTTCCTGAGGGTCACAAAGTCCAGGCTGGCCTCAAACCCACTGTGCCGCTGAGGCTACCCTTTTGCCTCCACCTCTGGGTGCTGGGAGTAAGTTTCTGTGGTGCTGAGGAATCAAACCCAGAGTTTTTGTGCATGTCAGCTAAGCATTCTATCAACAGAGATACACCACCAACCTTGAAACCAAATTTGTAGGGTCCCTCTTTGTTCCCCCATCTCAATAAATGGTGGCATCATGTACCCAGCCACCTTAGCTTTGACTCTTCTCTTGACTCGTATACCACACTGAACTGTAGACTCCATCTCTAAAGCATAATCTGAACCTGACCACTTAACAGCACTCTGTGGTCCCTTCCCATTGCCTGACAACTGACAAGGTCTGCAGGAGGAGGCTAACAGCAGAGCAGGCTAAACTTCCTCTGAGCATGCGCATTTGCAACTTCCCCTTGAGCCAATCCGGAGCCTGCCGAGGAGCCCGGAGATAGATGACGCCAGAAGGCCTGAGCTAAAGAAGAAGAGATAACACAGCATTCCAGATGACACCGCCACCTAGGTCCTGGGAGGGGGTATAGTCTGCTCTACCACTTGCCTGACTCCCAGGGTCTGTGGCATTGACTCTATGAACGCCATCTTACCTCCACCCCCAGGATGTGGTAGCGAGAGGTAAGAAACAAAGGTCTTCCAAAAGTTACCCTATGAGACCTCTTGCCCTCATTTCTATTATCCATTCAGGATACAAAAGAATGATTTTAAAATACATCAGACTTCTCCAGTAAAACCCCAACTCTTTATCATAGTCTATACAATCTGGTTCCCACCTACACGATCATCCCATTTCACATCACTCCCTCCCTAAACCACCTCCGGCCCAAGTTCAGCCACACTGGCCGCCTTCCTGTTCCTCTACCATGCCAAGTGCAGCCTACACCAAAGGCTTTGCCGTTCCCTTGCTGTTCCCTCTGTGAACATCCTCCCCACCCCCACCCCCCAGATTCCTATGCCATTCGGGGCTCTATAAAGGAAAACGAGTTAGTCTTTCTTCCGTTTCCTCCTTCCCTTATTTTCTCTCCCCAATTCTCTAACCTGGTCTCATTTTTACTTGGCTTATCTGTTTGCTCCATTCATTAGCTGTAATGAATGAGTAAGTACCCATCAGACTCCAGGACTCTAAGGAGTGGAAACACAGCAGCGAGATAAGCAGAGATCTCAGCCCTCCTGAAGTCGGTCGCCCTTGTGTGAGCCTAAGTTCCAGAGAGAAGACACACAGTCCACCTTGTGAACAGTGAATCTCCAGTGCCCCGTAGAATGGCCTGGCATGGAGTAGGCATAAACACATCTGCTGACTAGACAGAACAGCCATCTGTGTCCCTGAATACTCTTCTTTCTACCTGGTGAGATTCAAGATGGGACCCAAAATGTCCCCTAGTGCAGTCTAGACAACCAGCCCCTAGCCCTACCCCGGGTTGTCCTGACTAACTTCCACCTGTAGCACCCCGCTAGCCCCTCCAGTGACTGTATCTCTAGGATTTGTCTCACTGGGTCACAAGAGTACCAGATCCACTGGACGGATGCTGACCAGGCAGCAACATCAAACAGGTCAGATTTTCTCTACAAAGTGGCCAGAATCAAATGTATGCGTCACATAGCTTCCCTGGCTCCCATGGTCCCTGTCCTCAGGAGATGACAGGACACCGTCAACACACACTAGCTATCGCCGCTGCAGCCATTCCTATTTGAGCACTGAACACAAGGTTGCTCAGGGTGTATTTTTACTTCTTGCAGCTGCTATGGAGGCAGGACATTTGCCCGCTGTGATGAACAAGTTTCTCCCAAAGAACATTGTGGAGCATGAACTAATTTGATCACAAATAAACATGAAGATAATTGTAAAATACAATCTATTCACCTTAAAAAAAAAAAAAAGAAACAACAACAAAAAAGAAAAACAAAAAACAGAGCTGTGCAAAGGAAAAATTAGTTACCTCCAATTGAGTCTCACTGGGTATACAAACCACACTAAAAGACAGGCTCTATGCCCAGCAGTAGATGCCAGTCCAAAGTGAACTCAATGGTATTTTTGGAAGGTTTTTGTCTTTTGCTTATTTGAATCTTTATAGGATTTCTCTGTGTGTGAATGTGGTTGTCTCTGCATCTGTATGTCTTTCAGGTGCTTTTTCTTTGGCTTTTGTTGTTGTTGTTGTTTTAGCTTATTATTTTTTAGATGCTTGATGGTTTTCTAATGGTGGGGTAAGGTTTTGGGTGGGTGGGGAAGACCTGGAAGAAGTTGGAAAAGGGAAAACTATAGTAAGAATATACTGAATGAAAAAATATTTTCAATAAAAAAAAAAAAAAAAGAACATTAAAAGGAAGAAAGAAAGATAGAAAATATGCCCAACCATGGTAGTGCACACCTTTAAACCCAGCACTCAGAAGACAGAAGCCAGTGGATAAGTGTGAGTTCCAGGCCAGCCTGGTCTACAGATCAAGTTCCAGGACAGCTAGGGCTATTACACAGAAAAACCCTGCCTCAAAAGACAAAAAAAAAAAAAGAGAGAGAGAGAGAGAGAGAGAGAGAGAGAGAGAGAGAGAGAGAGAGAGAGAAAGAGAAAGAATATATATAACAAAAAATAAAACAGAGCTAGAGTGGTAATAACAAATTTAGAAAGGAAAGAAAATGTACATACCTTAAAGAAGCACCCTAGAGATCTAGTATTTAAAACCCACTTTACCAACCTGTACACACGCAAGGGTGATGTCTGTCTATCTCATTTTAATGTGCTAATTAACTCAGACACAGCAGACTTCAGAGCCCTGTGGACATGAGCATCACGATACAAAGGCATGAAGGTCCCTAGCCATCCCTGAGCTGCGGTGATCTGGGTATAGCAGCTATTTCTTTCAACATCTGGGTAGCTTGAAAAAGATACTTAAAGGAGTAAAATGTGTGAGAGAGAAGAGAGCTGCAAGGCATCTGAGAACCCCACTGTGTTACAGTGTAACCGCCCAACACCTCACTCGCTTTGAAATATTTTCACAAACATCTCCTTCAGTCTTCAAAGCAAGTGACCCTGCACTGTAAACAAATCAGGATAAACTTTGCTGTTTGGAACCCCAGAAACCACACAATTATTCTAGACCCTAATGTAAGAGTGGCAGAACCTAGATATGCCTAAACTCAGCTGTGGTGGTTTGAGTGAGAATATCCCCCATAGGCTCCAACCTTTGATACTTGGTCCCCAGGTGGCAGCATTGTGTAAACAGGTTTAGGAAGTGAGGCCTTGCTACAGGAAGCGTGCCATTGCTGGCTGGCAGGCTTTGAAGGTTCAAAGTCGCATGCTATTCCCAGTTCACTCCCTCTGTTTCATGCTACTTTTGGCTGGAGATGGGAGTTCTGAGTTGTTCCTGTTACCATGTCTGCCACCTGCTGCCACAATTCTCTACCATGATGTACTCTTATTCCTCTTCAAGTATAAGCCCAAATAAATAATCCCTCCCTTCTAGAAGCGGCTTTGGTCATGTGGCTTTATCACAGCAATAGAAACACCACCTACAGCCTTTCTTCTATGGAGAAGAGATGACCATCGTTATCTGCAAATCACAGTGAATGATCAGTTTGTCTCTTCACTGCAACAGGAAGAAAAAACAAAAACACTTACCAGTGGTTTAAGGTGGCGGGAAGACACATTGGTCCTGGAGCTCTGAGTGGAGAGAGGCTTGCAGATTTTCCCAATGGATGCCAATTCCTAAAACAACACATAAAATGCCATGAGTAAACCCCAGGAGTCCTCACCCCAGTAGGCTCATCTCAACCCAACTCATCTCCACAGCCACCCCACTCAGACCCAAAGACCCCATGCTTCTCATCCAGCCTAACTCTCTGGTCCAGCCCCATTTCCAATCGTAGACTGATAATCTTCAGTTCAGACATGGAAATGGCTCCCACAGCAGTGACAGGATCTCAACACAAGGATGCTCCAGAGATCCTCTGCAAGGGTCACAAGCTGAAAGCAAAGGGCCATTTAACCTACAGAGGCACAACACTGTGCAACTGTGAGCCTGAAGTTACAACTCAGGAATGTCACATAAAATCTCAGACCTCTTAGCCCGAAAGGTAGCTCAGTGGACAAAAGTCCGTGCCACACAAGCCTGAGATACTAAGTTTGATCCCCAGAACCTACAGTGGAAGGAGAGAACTAACTCAAAAGTTGTCCTCTGGCCTCCATATCTGAACACTCAGATACACATGCACACACATAATAGTAATAACTTAAGACGATGATGATGACAATGACTGTTGAACCTCACTTTTGGCCTCTCTTTCAAAGCCAAACAGATCAGAAGAACACCACCAACATTCCTGTCAGACAGTGACTTTCTGATAGTAAACAGCTGTCACCCTTCACAAGCAAGCCTGTCTGCTCTGAATACCAACCCCAGCCGTCTGAATTTTCTCTACAATGAGAACTGCCTTTTTCAGTCCCCTCTGCCTTCATTTACCTCTGCTTCTGTAGAGAACCTGGACCAATTCCCAGCACCTTACAGCCACGTGTAACTCCAGTTTCAGGGGATCAGAGGCCCTCATCTGGACTCAAGGTGCACTGCATACATGTGGTGCACGTACACACATGCAGGCAAACACTCAGAAACATCAGATAAATTTTTAACGAAGAAAACCGGAGGGCTGGGGATGTGAAGCACTTGCCTGGCATGTGCAGAGCCTTGGGTTCTAGCTCCAGCAGATTCTCAAAAACAAAACAAAAAAGAAGACTACATACACAATTGTGTATAGATGCCAGCATTGTAACACATTAACAATACTCAGCTTAAAATGGTGAGAGTTATTTACATCATTCTCTCAAAGAATGTATCAAATTGTTCACTGACCTCTCTTACATATACCACACAGCACCAGGTGACAGAGATACAAAAGTCAACACCACCCTTAAGTTGTTCTGAGAAAAAGGCAGGTCTAGACGCTAAACAGGCATGCTCAGGTGATACAGTAGCACTAAACAGAAGCGCCAGTGCAGCAGAGGTACCAGGCACTGAGGACTGAGCAAATCCCAATGCCTGGGTGGGAGGGGAACAGAAAAGGTGCAGATCCCAGCCCATGGGACAAAGAAAGCAAAGCAAGGACATCTGAACAGCCATCTATTTTAGCTTTGTCCAGGTCTCTTATTACCTTGTAGATCTTAAACAACAACAAACAAACAAACAAACACACACACACAGCGTGGGGGCAGGCATGGGAAGGGGTTTAAACAGAGTGAAGGTAAAATGGGAGGTGAAGGCTTAGGTTGGGGTGGAAACAGATGTGGTTAAGAACAGTATGAGGGCACAAGGCACAGTCCCCCTGAATGGTGACAGGATTTCACTAGAACCACAAAGGTTTGGCAGGTTCCAGTATCTGGCTGAAAATGAAAATCACCTGGAGAACTAAAAAGAGTATAATAAAAAACAATCTTATTTTTGGTTTGGCAGCACAAAACCCTCCCACAGGCAATTCTGGCATGCAGCTGGAGATGGGTGTACTTTATCAGGAGCGCAGAAGCTCCAGAACAGTCTCTTCAAGGACACTAATTCAGCATCCTTCAGAAAAGCACCAAGAGTTAGTTCTGCTTGGAGATTTGCTCATTCTCAGTCTGCCCATCTAATTTCTGTCCCGTCATGACACCCATTGCTTAACCCCATTAAGTAGATGACAGAATGCCAGCAGCAAGAATGGCAAGCGGGTAAATGAGGCCAGCCTCCCTCTTTCTAGTGGCACACACCCAGTCAGCATGCTTCCAGATGAAACTCGGGCAGCCTAGTCCCAGCAGCAGACCTGCGTCTCTACATACCCATGCAGCTACCCCTTCCAGTAAGACAAAGAATCAGCACCTCTCCGACCATCAGATGGCCTTCGAGGAACTGATTCAGGACAGAAGCGTTCTGGTCAGGTCCCTCCTGCCCACCAAAGGGGAAGTACTGCAGGTGAATGCAATGTGTGGAAACCTGCCAAGCCAGCTGAGCACTCCTCAGCGCAGAATTCCACTTTGTGGTCATGTAATGGCTTGAGCCATCCCAAGCCAAAAAATGGCAAAGTAAATGTATGTGCCACAAAGATGAATTGGAGCAAGCTGCTTCCCTGAATGGGCCAGCCTGGAGAGATCTCTTCCTGACATCACTAGGTACTAGCAGGTGACCTTCAGAAAGCTAGCATCAGAGAAATCCTCGGTTCAGTCAAGGTCAACCTTTTTGAACAAGAGGCCAAGCAACAAGGCTCACTATCCTCCAACAAAACAAGGAGACACTCCCAGAATCCCAAGAAATCTACAGCTAGCCAAGGTCAACCTTCTTGAACAAGAGGCCAAGCAACAAGCTTCACTGTCCTCCAACAAAACAAGGAGACACTCCCAGAACCCCACTTCAATCTAAGTATCCTCCACTTGAGTCAGAAATCGAGTTTAGAAGGATGTGGGATGGCAGAGAGTTTAGGGAAAGCAAAGGAACTTTCCCTGCCCTCAATTTTAAATGATTCATTCGTTTTCAGGCAGTTTTAATGTACCATGGCCTAAAACAAGACACTTTCTAGTCCAGTGCTTGAAGACATGGCAGTTTTTGTTTCAGGCCGTGTCAGATACCTTGGGGTCTCACCTCGCTCATCTGTATCCCCTTCTCTACTCTATCCCAAGACCACAGTGCCAGATGCTGTAAAGCCATCTCAGATATCCTCAATCCTAACAAACGCCAGCTGCCAGCCAACCCACCCTGGCCAACAGGAGCCCCATGTCCAGTGTCCTCAGAAGCCTATGCTTCTGGATACAGCACAGATAACTTTTATTTTTACACAGCATTTTCCCCGACCCCTAATGGACAAGGATTAGTACAACTCTGCCTTGCCTTCTTATTGGTGCTGTTTGCTGTCAGTTTCCAGTTTGACTGCAGGTCAAATCCCAATACAGTACCTCAAAACTCTGGTTTCAATCAAAATATACCCCAAACTTCATGCCACCCAGCCACACTTGGCTGCTCTCTTTGTCCCTAACAGAAGCCCGGAGTTGCTTCCCGAGCTCATGGCAGACTTCTCTCTCCTGACAGCAACAATTCCAGAGCCCAAGAGAGGAAATCTGCAATCAGTCTTAAGGCCAACCAATTGGGAGGGACACAAACTGAGTATTTCACCCTCCCAGTTTGTCTTCATATCACACCACATTGGTCATTCTATTTAAGATCACTTTACAACTTGAAAAATTAACCCCTCTGTAATCCTGAAACAGACGGATTGCCTGGGATCACAGGGGCTATCACCAGAGCCAACCCCCTCAGGGACAGAACGCCACTGTAGCTTTCACAGGCCCACATTAGTATGGCTCTCTCCACTCTGGTCCCAGTGCCAACCCACCCCTGCCTACTTCTGCAACCATAGGCAGAGGAAGTGGGTCTTTGGGAACTTTTTTAAGCTTTCCCACCTACTCCACAAATTTGGTAGGAGGAAGAATGAATGTTTCCAAGTTCTCTGAATGACACAACACTCATAAAGTACAACAGAATTAGCTGGAAACTAGCAAAAATATAAATTTAGCTTCCATTTTAAAAAAAATTTATAAAAGCACACCTACTTTAAATGATTCAGAGTGGCTTTATGCTGTTTCTTCTACTTGAATATACATTTGTTTCCCCAAAGCTGATGGTTCCCTCTCTGCCCCCCTTCCTAAGACGGGGTGTGCAGGCCCAGGCTTCCTTCCACAGATACCTATTTTGTCTGATTTGGGGCTCCTGAGAACATCTCAACAAAGCCAAGCACACTCTATAAATGGCCAGAGGCTACCCCCTCAACACATTATAATGCTATTTGCATTTACTATTTTCCTACATTAAAAATAAAATGAATAACAATCTCTTTCCCTATCTCTTGCCAAGGATGGGACATTTTCGGCATTGAGAGCTCAGAGGAAGCATTACCTCTTGACCATGGCCTGTTCTGACTCCAGAACCTTACTCTTACCAGCAAAGGCTCCTTTCTAGAAGAGCCTGCCATAGTCCATCATATTTATCTCCTTCAAAGGAGCAAGGACCTTGTCTAAAATGTTCATTCCTATAACCTCAGGACCACAACAGTTCTCACACATAACATGTGCTCAATATGAGGCAGCCAGGTAAGCACGTGGTTGGAAGAGGGTTGCGGGCTCTCTGGAGATGCTCCATGGCATGACTCACTCTAGCCTCTGGGATGAGTCTCCTGATGCCTGTAACTGTGATTCTTCAATTCTGTCACTACTGAAATACTGGCTTCAATGTCTACCTCTGTGGTATACCCTAACTGCTGAGACCCTGTTGGCTCTGAGACTGGCACACAGTAGGTGACCCGAACACACAGTTTCCTGCTTTACGATTCCCACACCCATAGTGACTCCTTGAAGAACTTTAACACAACTAAGAAAAGTACCCTACTGCCAAGCATGTTTGCTCAAACCTCCCCAAAAGAAGTCATGACATGATCATAGTCCTGAACACCAAATGGGGAGAGGCTAGCATGTTTGCTCAAGCCTCCCCAAAAGAAGTCATGGCATGATCATCGCACTGAACACCAAATGGGGAGAGGCAGACAGCTGTGGCACAAGTGGTCGCGAGCCGACAGCCTTTCCTCCGCCATACAAATTGTAGAACTGTCATTTTCTCTCTCTGGCCTCAAATCTCTCCCTTGCCCAGATGAAAACATCCAGTCAGACACAAAATGCATATATTACATGATTCCATTTAC